AGGCAGGTTGCCCCGCTATGAGCTGTTAGCCAGAGGGGCCCTAGAGGTCCCCAAAACAATAAAGGCCATTGCCAATAATTTTGGTTATACACCAGAAGTGGACAGTAAAGCCTTATTGCTAAAGCCACTCCATTATGTGAGCATGGGAGAAGAGAAATCAAGCTTGGACTAAGCTGGAAACTCCCTGCCACTGGATGTAGCCTTCATAGAGCCAGGAAGCACTATGCAGTTAGCTGGGGGAGAATTTTCCTGAGAATTCTGCTCAATTACTGGTCCTGCATACTGCACTATCAACATGCCAAACAAGATGTTCCAGCTCGTGCAATAATGGCACATCTAGTCTATGTACAACCAGCAAATTTTCAATTGTATATAATGCCCACTCCTAGAGGTGGAGCACACATCTGGCACTGTAGACCAGGCCAACTTCCTGTGGCAAGGGTGGATATAGGCCCGAGTGGGGAAGTCACTGCAATTGCTTTGTTAGATGGATGTGATGCACCTGCTAAAGTACCGTCCAAGCATTTGTGTTTATGCCCATTGGTTAAGTTATTATAGAAGCCACTATTTGGATGTTCTTGCTTCTTGCTGTTTGTGTCTTTATAGTAGATGGAATCCCACTGAAATGGGCCAACAGCCCATGGGAAACAGATTATGCAGAGATCCAAAAGCTCAGTGCCTTGCCACAATGGGAGGAAGATCGTCCCACACCCGTCACCCCCTCCAAGACTCAGGGACTTTTACAGAAGAGGTTGATGGAAAGAATGTAAGAGCCAGAGGAAGGGGTGGAGTGTTACCTGGAAGTGTCCTCTGACCACTATGCTGGCAAACTACAGTCACACCTCCTTCCCACTTTTGTCAAGGAGGCAATGGGAGCATCAGTTACCCCCCCCCACCCAAACATTCAACCTTAGCTGCATGGGGGGGGGGAGGCTAAGGGTGTATGAGCCAAGGATGCCACAAGGCACCTCTCTCATCATTTTGTGTGGCTGCTGGGAAACTACAGGATCTGTACTGGGTGTGAACTTTCCAGGGCAGCTATAAATGGGGGAAGCGCCCATTCTTCTGTTAGCACCCTGTGCTCTGTTAGCAAGCCCAATAAACTCATTAGGATTCTCAAAAAAAAAAAGAACAGAGCTAATGAAAACCATCACTATTCCACCACGTTGGCAAATCCTTTGGTCTTTGATTTCTTAGTCCTATTTTCCCCCCTTAAAATTCGTTGTATAGATATTTTATGTAACCTGCTTCAAGTTATTTTTGGAAAAATGTGTTAAAAATTGCCTCTCAGGCCAGGCGTGGTAGTACATGCCTTTAATCCCAGCACTTGGGAGGCAGAGGCAGGCAGATCTCTGTGAGTTCAAGGCCAGCCTGGTCTACATACTGAGTTCCAGGACAGCTGGGGCTGTAGGGAGACCCTCTCTCAAAAAGACCAAAAAAATTGCCTCTCTTTGGACTAATAATAAAAAGAATACTATGTGAAAATTAATTTAAATTTTTTAATTAAAAAAATAGGAAAGGGCTGGAAAAATGGCTCAGTGATTAAGAACACTGAATGTTCTTGCAGAAGACCCGGGTTCGAATCCCAGCACCCACATGGCAGCTAACAACTGTCCGTAACTCCAGTTCCAAGGGAATCCAACAGCCTCTTCTGTCCTCTGTGGGCATTGCACGACATGGGTGCACTTACCTACATGCAGGCAATACATGCATACACATAAAATAAAAATAATACTTTTTTTAAAGTTTTAAAATTAGGAAAATAACCATGTCTCTTGGGTATGTGGTGAATAATGGAAAGAGCTAAAAGTGGTGTCCTCAAGAGAGAAATGAAACAGAAACCATGATTTCAAATTATACCACAGAGCCATGGTAACAAAACAGCATGGAACTGGCACAAAAACAGAGAACAGTGGAATAGAACAGAGGACCCAGAAATAAACCCATGACCTACCTACAGTCACCCAATTTTCACAAAAGTGCCAAAAATTGGTGTTGGGAAAACAGTATCATCATGTAAAGTGAAGCTAGATTCTTATATCTCGCCTTGTACAAAAGTCACCTTAAAAATAGGTCAAAGACTTTAATGTAAAACCTGGAATTGTGGCACCACCTGAAGAAAACATAGGGTAACTGCTTCAGGGAGTAGCAGAGGGAATGAATGGGACAAAAATAGCCAAGATAGGAGGAAAAACTGACAAACAGAATTGCGTGAAATTTAAACGCTTCCACACAGAAACGGAAACAGAATAGAGGAGCCAGAGAATTGGAAGAAATCTCTGCAAGATCTGATAGGGTATTACTAACCAGATTACACAAAGAACTCAAAAAATTTAACATCAAAAGAACTAATTCACTCAAACAATAAGTAGAAAAATGAAGTGAACGGTACTCAGAAAAAGAAGTACAAATGACCGTAAACACGTGGAAAACTGACCACCATCTTCAGCCATCAGGGACATACAAATCAAAACTACACTGAAATTCTACCTCATCCTAGTCAGAATGGCTGTCACCAAAAAATCAAGCAATAGTGGCTAGAGAATGCCTTCACGGTTAAGAGTAGTGGCTGCTCTTGCAGAGGACCTGGGTTCAGTCCTCAGCACACACATGGCGGCTAACAACCATCTGTAACTTTGTAGGAAACCAGGATGCCAGGCCCTAGGGTGAGGTGAGCCTAAAACTTATAGGTCCAGGCTGCATTCTCTGCTGAAGGGAGGGGCACTGAAAACAGTGGCTCTGATAATCCCTGCCTTGCAGAACACTGCTGGGCTGGCTGGAGGAAGCGGCCCGGTCATAAAAGTGCAGGCTCCCCACTCTGTGGGACAGCGTCTTGGTCAACAACCCTTAGCTCATCTCCTTGTCCTAAACAAATAACTCAGCTATCCCTGGCTAAGAGATTAGGCCAGGTTAAAGGTTTACTCCTGAGCTAAAAGCTAAAAGTTCACCATGCTTTTATCTCTAAGAAAGAAAACATTGTGGCCAATAAATTACTGGATGGGCATTGATAACCTTGAGTAAAAGTTTAAGAATCCTTCTGGCGCCAACTAACAGACTAAATGTCCTGTTTCTTTGTACCCTAAATCTTTGTATGGGACTGTCATATCCCACGTGACTGCTAGTTCCTTGGGATGTATAAAAACCATCTGAATTGTAAAATAAATCGTCCTGTTGGGAAGAGTTTGACTCTGTCACCGATCAGACCCTCTGCCCCGAAGCCAGCAGGTCCCCTGCTAAGCAAAGCAAATCTGAGTCCCTACATAACTTTATTCCAGGAGATCCAGTGCCTTCTTCTGACTCTGAAAGCACTGCATGTACATGGTGCACTTGCGTGCAGGCAAACCATTCATATACATAAAACAAAAATAAGTAATTTTTAAAAGAATTTCAATATGGGGCTGGGGAAATGGCTCAGAGGGTAAAGTGCTTGTTGTACAAGCACAAAGACCTGAGTTCAGATCCCACACCAAAGTCAGACATGATGGTGCTCATCTATAACCTCCACACTGGGAGATGGAGACAGGTGGATTCTGGGAACTTGCTGGTTAGCCAGTGTAGCCAAAACAGCAAGCTCAGATTCAGTAAGAGACCTTGTGTCAAAAAATAAAGTGAAGGACCAGTTCTGAGATGACTCAGTGAGTAAAGGCACTTCTGCCAAGCCTGATGTTCAATCCCTGCCCCACATGGTAGACAGAGAGAACTAACTCCCACAAGTTATCCCCTAACCAACACATGCAATTTTAAAAATTAACTTATGCCACCCTCTAGAAGGCCCAGGGAACACTGTGAAAGACGGACAAGAAGAAAGAAAAGCCATAAAATAGGAAGGAGAACCACAGAATGCCATCTTCAGGGCATGGTATGCCCACTCCAATCATGAACTCCATGCAACTGAGCTTGCCTACACTGACCTACACAGAATGAGCCTATGAGCAGCCGGCCTTGGGTGGAGGAGGGACTCAAGAGCACCTCCCATCCATTAAACTCGTGGCCACCAATAGATTCTAGGAGAAGCAACTCACAGCCATCAGCTGAGTAACTGCTGGTGAAACCGCCAGGCTCAATGGAACGTTCCAGACCCACAGTCGCACAGATGGCCCCAGTTAAACTCAGTGGGTCTCAAAACAAAAACATAAACATGCATATATAGGGAGGGGAGGGCGGGGGTGAGTGAGAGGCAAGAGAAGGGAGGAGGCAAGAGTAATCAGAATGCATGGTACTCATGCATGAAAACATCAAAGGAAAAATTTAATTTTTAAAACATCGAAAAAGAAATATGAAAATAATAAAATAGAAAAGTGTCCTTCTCAATAAAAGGACTTCCCAATGCCAATCTCTGACCTCCACAAGCACCCGAGTAGGGGATTTCACCCATACAGACATAGGCATATATGCATACAACACACACAGAGAAACACACAGGCACAGACACACACAGACACACACACACGCACACACACTCACACACACACACACACACCACAAATTTCAACATAGAACAACAGTTTTAAACCCAGCATGAACAATCCCAGGAAGCAATGAAGTCTTGGAAGGTGTCCACGAGTACGGGCTTCTATGATGCAGGACCTCCAGTACTAAAATTGGGACAAAACTGGGAAAAATAGGGCTCTGGGAAAAACCAGAACTGAGAATCAAAGGAATGGCACAAGGTACAGCAGATCACTAGCACTAATTCATCTGGCATAACTGCAATCCCATGCCAGTGGTTAGGCATGTACAACGCCACACCTCCGTTTGCCACGTACAGTCTCCAGGCTTCATCTGTGAGGTCGGAGTGATGATGCCCCAAAGCATCTTCTTCCGTCGGAGAATTCACCTAGACTTGCGATTCTGTGAGGTATCTGCGGAGGGTGTGTTACTCTTTTTGAACATTCCAAAAGGAGGGAAGGAAAACTGATCTGGCAGCTGGGAATGTTGGATCCGTGGGAACAGGTCGGCACACAAGTTACTGCTGCACAAGGTCGGTGATCAGGATTTACCTGGCTGTGGGAGGTGCTGATGCTGACGACTGATGTTCCATGAAAAAGGTAGACAGCACCTCGGTTCTCCTGCTCTCCTGGGGCTCCGATGGCCACATCTGTCAGCTTGTCTCCATTCACATCTCCCAGCACTGTCAGAGCTGCCCCAAAGCGACCCCAGGGATGGCCCTGCTCACCGTAGAGAACAGCCTCACACCGCCACGGAGCCCTCTGGTAAGCAGAAACAATGACAGGCCCCCAAACCAGGCAACCCTCTACCCTATGCCCAGCCCCACCCAGCCCAGCCAGATATATCACTCACCCCCCTAGAATACCTAACTTTTTATAGTAATGGGGGCCCCAATACCACTCACCCCTCTAGGCAAGGGACACACGGACACCTGGCCCCCTCGGGTCTGTTCATAGTAATGGGGGGCCCCAATAAGGATCAGGTCTGTGTTTCCATCATTGTCCATGTCCACGGAGCAGAGGGAGGCCCCGAAGTAGGAGCCAATCTGAAAGAGATGGGGGCCAGGATCACATTCCTCTTCCTACCTAGAGAAGAATCCAGGAGCTTTCTCCCTATGAAGAACTTTATAGCTAGCCAGGCATGGTGATAAACTGTGACCCTAGCACTTGGGAAGCAGAGGCAGTAGAATTATGAGTTCAAGGACTGCCTGGGGCTACATAGTGAGCATCTTGTCTGAAAACAGAGCAGAAAGAGGAGAAAGGGGATGGGGGGGAGGGGAAGCGGGGAAGGAGGAGGAAATTATGCCTAGGAGAGAAAGCCTTTTGGAGAAGATAATGATTGTCTATATGATTCGTGATAAATTTTGAGAAAGAGGTTAAGGATGGGGTAGAACCCAGGATTTCATACATGCTAGGCAAGTAGTATTGCAATGAACTATGCCCAGCCCAGAAAATTGTTTGAGTGTGCTGCTAGCTGGAGGAGCATATTATAGTCGATGGGCAGTAGGTTCTCAGATGGTATTCTGAGGAAATTATTAAGGCAGCAAAGGAAAAGTTACATTGGACAATGAAAATACGGAAGTCTAGAAGAATAGGCAAGATATCCGTCCGACATAGAAGAATTCTTGGCAGGGAGAGGGGATACAATCTAATTTGGCCATCTGACTAATAGGCAATCAACTTGATTGGACTAAAAAGAATAATCATAGGCCTGGAGGTGTGTCTCAGTGGTAGACAAACTGCTTAGCATTCTTGAAACTCTAAGTAGATTTAATCCTTAGCACCGAACCAGCAAAAATGGGTATTTTAATAGTCTTCGTATAAATATGCAGAATTCATCCACATTTACTCTCCCATTTATTCACTCATTCAACAAAGATTTGCTGAGCACCAGACTGGGTAGTAGAGACATGAGCCTTCAAGGCTCTCAGTGTAGCATATGGAGGGGAAGAGAGCAGAGAATGGATGAACAGGAACATGCTGCATGTTTCAACTTAAGGGAACCCTAGGAAGGAAAAGTGCAGAGGACGTCATGACAGGCAGGACAACATGATCTCTGCCCTGTTGCAGGGGATTCACTGACAACTCAATAAAGGCATTGAGACTTTGTCCTGCAGTCAAAACATTTGTCTGTTTTTTAAGTCGAGTTTATTAGGGTAATTTTTCAATACAACAAAAATTCAGCTATTTTAATATATGTTCAGAGTTTTGCCAAATATATAGTCATATAACCACTATCACACTCAAGATATAGAATGATGTCATCTTCCCCCAAATAACCCCTGACCCTTCCTCGGAGTTAAGCTCCCTCCATAATTAGCAATCCTTGGTAACCACTTGTTTGTTTTCTGTCTTTGTATCACAGCTTGATCTTTTCTAGATTCTTATAGGAATTCCTATATAGTATGCAGATTTTTTAGACTGGTTTCTTCAACCTAGAATAATGTACTTAAAATCTATCAATGTTACTACTGAATTCCACAAAAATTAAAGAACATCAATTCTTTTTGCAAGGGGTGGGGGTTGAGACAGTCTTATATAGCCCAGGATGGCCTTGAACTCTTAATCCTCCTGCTTCCATCTCCCAAGTACTGGGATCACAAATGTATACAACCATGCCTGGCTTGAATATCAGTTCTTATTAAAATTATTTCAGAAAATTTAAAGGGAATACTTCCAAACTCATTTTATAAAGCCAGAATTAGTATAATACCAAAACCAGACAAGCACATAACAAAAAGAAAGTACAGGGGCTAGAGAAATAGCTCAGCAGTTATGAGTACTTGCTGCTCTTACAGAGGACCCAGGTTTGGTTCCCAGGACCAACATGGCAGCTACCAACCATCCATATCTCCAGTTCCAGGTGATCTGATGCTCTTTTCTGACCTCCATGGGTGACATGGGTGCACTTATATCTATGCAGACAAAACCTCACACATATAAAATAATTTTTTTAAAAGAAAGTACAGAACAGAGCTGCAAAAATTCTAAATAAAATGTTAGCAAAGTGAATCCAACAGCACATTAAAAACAAGGTCTCCCTGGCAGTAGCGGTGATCATTAGGAGTGTATTTGCCCTGCATTCATGAAGCTACCCAGCACTGCAGAGCAGGAGAGAGGAAGGAGAAAGCAGGAAGGAGGAAGAGAGGAAGGGAAGAGGGGAAGAGGGGAGGAAAAATCATATTACAACAATGAAGAGGGATTCATCCCAGAAATGCAAAGATGATTCAATATAGGCAAATCAATAAGCATGATATATCACATCAACAGAATAAGTAGTAAAAGTCGTATGTGTGGTGGCCTTTAATCCCAGTAAGTTCCAGGCCAGACAGGATTACATAATGAGACCTTGTCTAAAAACAAGCTGTATTTCAGTACATGCAGGAAAATCATTTGGTAAGATTCAATATTTCTTCATGATAAAAACTCTCAAGTTAACTATAAAAATATATCTCACCACAAAAAAAAACTATATATGACAAGACCATAGCAAAGAGTACATGAATGAGGAAAGCCGGAATGTTTTCTGAGATCAGAAAACCACTCTTGCTCAACATAGTATGAAAAGTCCTAGCCAGAAAAGTTAAGCAAAGTTAAGCAAGAAACAGAAATAAAGGGCATCCAAATTGGATAGGAATAGCCAAATTTTCAGATGACATAATAACATTATTTTATAGAGAGAAAAAAAAACTAGACTACCAAAAATACTGCTAGAACACCTAATTCAATAAAGGTACAAGATACAGAATCAACATACAAAAATCAGTGGCATTATCCACCAATAATGAACTAGCTGAAAACTATGTAGATGCCATTTACTATAGCTATCAATAAATTTTAGGTCTGGAGCTGGAGCGATGGCTTAGTGGTTTCTCAACTTGCTGCTTTTCCAAAGGACCTAAGTTCAGTTCCCAGCACCCGTATTGGGAAGTTCACAGTCATCTGTAACTAATTCCAGGGGATCTGTCACCCTACACTTAATAAAAATAAATCTTTTTTAAAAGTGATAGGTCTGGAGATAGAGCTCAGATAGTAAAGTGCTTGGCTAGCGTGTATAAAGCCCTGGGTTTGATCCCTAGTACTATATAAACCAAGCCTAGCGGTAAACGCCTGTAATCCCAGTACTTGGGAGATAGAAGTAAGAAGATCAGAATTTCAAGGTCACCCTTAGCTACATGGAGAGTTCAAAGCCAACCCGAGGTTCATGAGATCTTGTCTAAAATATATAGGTGTCTACACTAAAATATAATAGCAGTCTTCACAAAAAATACTATTTAAAATCCTAAAATTCATAGGAAACAAAAAAATAAAAACCAACTAACTGAACAGCCCTAAGCAAAAAGAAAAAAGCTGAGGGCATTACAATACTAGACTTCAACGCAAAGCTATCATGCCTGGGAGTGGGGTGCGTGCCTTGTGACCCTAGGACTTGGGAGGCTCACAAGAGGCTCATGAGTCAAGGACAACCAGTACAGGCAAGACCCTGACTCAAAAAACAAAAAAAAAGAAAGAAAAGAAAAAAGCTGCACAAGCAAAGCATCATGATATTGGAATATAAATAATGAACCAGTTGTACAGAATGTAGAACTCAGAAATCCACATGCTCAGAGCAGATTGTCAACAAAGGCACCAGGAAACTGAGTATTTATGTACAAAAAATGGAACTAGACCCCTATCCCAAGCAATTCTAAAAGTACAAAGACTTAAATGTAAGACCTAAACTATGAAATTGTTAGAAGAAAACATAGGGGGAACATTTCAGGATCCTGATATGTACAAAGATTCTTTTAGATAAGACCCCAAAATGCAGACAACAAAACCCAAAATGGACAGATAGTGTGATGACTAATCTTAGTCGTCAATTTGACCAGATCTAAAATCAACTAAAATCCAAGCCTCTGGGTACTTCTGTGAGGACCCTTCTTGATCACGTTTAAACCAGGCTACATGTGGTGGCACCTTCTGGTGGTGGCCCAGATAAAGGTTCATGGAAGAAGGAAACTTTGCTTTTTGCTGCTTGCCTTCACTATTGCTTGCAGGTTTATCTATCCTGTGGCTGTAGCATTCTTTCACTGATATTACAGCCAGCCAGTAGACTGAAGACCAGCCACTCTCCAGGAATCCTCCAGGCCTTCAGCACTGGAACTTCAGATTGGGACTGCTGAGACATCCAGCCTCATAGACGGAGCAACTATATGATTGTTGGCTCTCCACTGTGGTGAGACAGCTACTATTGGACTACCCATACCACACTGTGTAAAGTGAACCTAATACATCATATACATATGTATACACACACATACACACACACACACACACACGCACATGCACGCACAAACAATCAATCAATCGATCAATCAATCAATTCTGGTCCTAAGAGAATCCTGACTAATTGTATTGTATCAAAATTAAAACATTCTACACAGCAAAAAAACAATCAACAGAGTAAAGATACAATCTGAATAATAAGCAAAATCGTGTGCAAACTACTCATCTGACAAGAAATTAATCCCCTGAACCTGGGTCCTCTGGAAGAGCAGCCAGTGCTCTTAACTGCTGAGCCATCTCTCCAACCCCGCAATAATCATTTTTAATTTGTATTTATTCTTCAAAAATTTGATGTATATATACAATGTATCTTGATCATTTTCTCCACTCACTCACAAGAATAATTTAATTTAAAATGGACAAATTATCTGAATTTAAATTTATCAAACTAAAGAGATATGGCTAGCACACAGATGAACAAATTCTCAACACCGACCAGCTTCCTGGAGCCAGCATCCTTCCTGGGGAAGTTCCGTGGTCCCCCCACCCACCCACACCGTGACTCCCCCAGCCTCATTCACCCTCCCAGCTCCCCCACTGCATTTCTCCTCCTAGACTTGGTACTGACCCATTTCTTCTCTTGGCACTCCAGACACCTGGTCTGACCTCTTGACCCAAAATTCCTTTGCTTCCAGACCAACCCAATTCCTCCCTGGAGTCCCCAGGAGCCGTCTGGGCCTGTTCCTGCCCCCACCTCCCTTTGTATCCCTGGGCGGCA